GTTCGAACAAGTGTCGTAGATGTGTCCGGTGTTCCTCTTCCGAAGAATTGGCCACTAGGATGTCGTCGATGTACGGGTGGACGAAGTCGAGTCCACGTACGACGGAGTCGATGCAGTGTTGAAATGTCTGCGCGGCGTTGCGCAGACCGAATGGTATTCGTAGAAACTCGAATAGTCCAAATGGTGTAATAACGGCGGTTTTCGGTATGTCCTCGTCGGCGACCGGGATCTGATGATAAGGTCGCACCGGATCGAGCTTTGAGAACACGCGAGCACCATGAAGATCGGCTGTAATATTCTGTGTGAGGAATAGGATGACGAACCGGAATTGTCACCTTGTTGAGGGCGCGGTAATCGCCACATGGTCGCCAGTCTCTTGACTTTTTCGGGACCATGTGAAGAGGCGAGGATCCCAAGTCCGAGTATGTGCTCCAATTCCGCACGGGCGGTTTTGAGCTTGTCTGGAATCAGTCGGAATCAGACGGGCAAACCCTTGTCAACTATATGATGCGGCGTAGCCCCGGCTGCAGTTGACAGAGACGATGAAGGTCGGAAGACTTCAGGGAAACTCTCAAGTAGCGATTTTGCATTGGCGTACACCGGACTGAGCGGTGCTACATCGCTGGACATGCCTGCCACGGAAACTTTCGTTGTCTGATCGATGAGACGATGTCATTTAGCATCGACGAGCAAGTCGAAGTGCTGAAGAAAATCAATCCTGATAATGGGATTTTGGACGTCAGGGAATACCCATCGAAAATAGCGTCGCAGGCCGAGGTTAAGCGTGCGCGAGCGCTAACCGTAGCCGCGGATTCTGGTACCGTTGGCTGCGCGTAGAGAAACAGTCACATTTCCGGTTGCGTCGTTGGGATCACGTGGAAGGACGCTAACTTCTGCGTCAGTGTCGACGAGATAGCGAACTCCCGTTTATCGATCGTTGACGAAGTACAGGCGGCTGTGTTGACCAGCTACGTCCGTCGCCCCTACGTGCTGATGGACCCGTTTCCCTGCGTGTTTGAAGGAACACGGTGGCAGGCAGGGCGTTCCGCGGTCGGCAGCCCAGCAGAGCGAAGAGATGTCGCCTACAGTTCACCCGGCTGTGCTGATGTCTGAGCCGCAGCGGGTGACCATGAAGATGGGGGCATGAGTAGTGCTGTTTCAGTAGGTGGCGACAGGAGTGTCCAGGGTTGGATAGGATTGCAGATACGAGGATCAAGTCGCCTCGAAGCCGTCGGTATTTCATGGAGATGAGACCAAAGCGACGGAGCCGCTGGGGATAATCCAAGTGTCTGAGACCCCGTACTAATTTTGTCCTCCGACGCTGTGGGGCTTCAACCACATGTTGATCTTTGAGGAAGCAGGGGCTCCAAGCCTGGATAGCAACCTCCAAGTGAGAATGTAGGAAGGCGTTTAGGACGAGGCGGAAATTCCGCGGGTCGATTTGGCCGGAGCCACGTTTCAATAGTCCAAGCATGCGGTTAGCAGTAGAGGCTGCTTTTCGACAGGAAGCAGATACTAAAGGGTTAATTTGGGTGATGATACCCAAATCTCTTTCAGCTAACGAGATCTTGAGAACATACTCTCCCAGGAAGTATATTGGAGAAGCGAAGGGCGGGTGGAGAGGATACGGCATTTCGCTGAGTTAAACGGGAGGTTGTTTTCCAGGGATCACTGGTGCAGACGGTTGAGGTCTCTCTGATGTGCGCGGGTATCGTCTGCAGCATTGATTTTGCGCCACAGCTTCGCGTCGTCGGCGTAGAGCAGCATCAAGGACTCGACTTGCTTTGTAATATCATCGATGAAGGGTTGGAAAAATTCCGGCCCAAGAACAGACCCTTGTGGAACTCCGTTTGTCACAGGAACAATGGGGTACGGCGCTCCGTCGACGCGTACTTGGACGGTACGATGGTGGAGGTAGTTCCGGATCCAGTCCATTAAGACCCCAGGTATAGCGTAGAATAACATGATGGATGGCACTGCGTGATGGATGGATGGCATGGTCAACTTTGTCGAAAGCCTTGGAGAAATCCAAGTAGATGATTGGCGTTTCCAGGCCGGTGCCAGCCGCGGTAGTTCAGCTATCCCGTGCGAGTAGCACGTTACTCAGGCATGACCGTTGCGGTCGGAAGCCGTGCTGGTAGTCGGAAAGCAGTTTCTGAGCCTCAAGATGGTCCAATAAAGCATCGTCGATAATCGACTCAGTCATTTTGGAAATCGTAAATAGGATTGTTAGCGGTCGGTAGTTGACGGAGTTCTTACGCGTGCTGTCTTTGTAGGTTGGCGTAAATGTACCGCATTTTCGATCGTTGAAGACTTCACCGTGCGAGAAGAAATGGGTGAACAGCTCCGTTAGAGGTAGAGCTAGAGCTACAGCGCCCGGTCGCAGGGGACTTGGATGGAAACCGTCTGCGCCTAAGGAGGCTGTTACCCGCATGGGTTTAAGCTTCGCCAGGACCTTCTCCGGTTTGAACTGAACAGTTGTCAGGGGGACGTTGAAGCTAACCACGGCGAATGTTGCGTCATTTCCTGGACTGATGGAACGGAAAAAGCAGATGCATAATGTTGGCATAGGAATTCTGTAGCCTCGTTCTCTGATTTTGTGAGCCCTTTGGCTGTCATCAGCGCAGTGACCGCGTTCGTCTTGCTGAAGGCGGTTGATGTGACTATACAGGGCTTTGGGGTTGCCAGAAAATATGCGCACAAGCTGACGCTGCTGCTCGCTTTTGTCTTCGCGTATAAGCTGGACGAAACGGTTACGCAGAAGTCGGTATGCTTCCCAATGAGAACGATATATTTTCTATACCATGCCCCTGAGGGCAATCCACTGCCGGGCCCGACTTCGGAAGGGCATGAAACGTCTCTTCCCTATGGAGACCTGTTTGCAGGTCGTGCTTAAGCTCAGTTCGCGTAGAGTAGTGCAGAACGTTTACCACACCTTGTCGGCATCCAAGTGGGGTCCCGGTAACCAATTGTTTTCGTGTATGTCAGCGTGGTGACGCTTTTCGGCAAAGCATACACAGTCGTACCGGATGACGCAGTGATCTCTGAACCCCAAAGGGGCGTCATATTCGACGTGCTCAACCATCAGTTCTTCGTTGGTGAGTGTCGTGTTACCCTCCGGGAAACAAGAAGACTGGGCCGCGATCACGAAGTTGTTTCCTAGGATTACGCTCGAATATTTACAGAGTATATACACTAATTACAACAGTCCGTTTCAATGGCTCATCCCTGTTATTTGCATTGTGTCGCTGGCTCCTCTTCCATTGGTTTATGCTTGCTCGCCACCTTCACTCTGTCTAAAATCACCTTGACTTACTTAGTGGATGTACGATTGGCGGGATTGGGCCCGCGCGCTTCTTCCCTCGGTCCAATACCACAAGCCTTGGCTCAAAGGTGCACGAGCATGCGCTGTTTCGCCTGCTGCCGCCTGATTGGTCACCTGCACATTCAGTGACTGGTTGCAGGCTGGACGCGATCACGGGCCAACTATTTCCTGATTGACTGACCAATCTGCTTACGGTAACATGCTCACTCCCTATCGGTCTGGCCCGTGACGTTCGATCGGCATTACAGCATTTCCAGCCCCCATCACAGTGAGGATGAGGTCCAGAAGAGATGGTTGGTCGTTGGTTCGAGATCTGCTTGGCTGGCAGATATGGTTTTACAGCTGGGCCGTGTGGATAAGCCCAATGAGGCTTGACACAATTTAGCCAGTCATCGGAACGTAGCGAAATAGTTAGAGTTGATTGAAATCTTCCTTGCTAAGGTTTGTGTATCTGAGGGATAGAATGAAGTGTATATTGCACAAGCGTTTTGCGTCATTCACGGAGGGGTTGTTTGGCTCGCAAACATAAGGTCATGGGTTCGAATGCAGTAGGATTCGGTGGGTGCATGCTATTGACGAATCCCAATGGGACGAAATGGCTGTCTAGCGCTTTCTTGGATTTGTTGTGGCTGAGTCTAGCTACATACAGAGTATAGTCAATGTTATGGAAGGTAGTAAAATGAAGCTGATCTTGTCCGATCTTTTATGACTTATTTATGTTGATCGCACGTGATTTAACCTCTGAGTGAGCATCACCGAAGCGTACCAGTTACTCATCGGCATCAGCACCTTGGATGCTGCACTAGTATGTTTGTTAATCTCGACTCACCAAAGCTATTGCAATCATATCTTCCTCATTCCTACCGATCGACTTCATGGGTATGCATTGTTTTTCACTGTTGCGAGCCATATAATGATTTTTCGTCTAATCTGGATTGTTTTGTATTCACCACTGTGGAGGAAGACGGTAATAGCTCGGTACCAGGTTTTATTTTCCAACGTCGACTTGCCTACTTTTGCGTCCAATTTTGTGAATTCCTTCTGATAAATTACTTTATTCTCACTTTTCATCGCTTTTACGCTAGTTTTCTACTTCAGTCGTCGTTTTGGAAATGATGTGGCCCATTCTGCAGCCATCCTCTGTGTTCCTTGAGAAGGAAGGCTACTTACAGCTAGATATTTATAAGGATTTCGTGGCGGTCTGCCGAACGGTGTCCCCCAACACGGTTTGCTTAACAAAGTACGAATATCTGCCTGAGGTATATTCATGTTCAACTTTACCCTCCATCATGTTGAAGTTTTGCGTCCTACACAGACTTGTAGGTCACATCAAAAGTCTGAAGTTAGTAGACTACAAAACTGGTGTCCGGGTGCTTGTCGCTTCGACGTCTGAAATTGTACTTATTCACCTAGATGAGTTTTCCGGAAGAACCGTTTCTGGCAAACGCGTCATGTGAGTTACAATACTGTCTTCTTTATTACCAAGCTTTTCTGTTTCATGGGTGGTTGCTGATGACTTGAGATGCCTTGTTAACATTGATTTAGATCTTTCTAGACTGGTGGTCACTCGTAATATGTACCTCAGCATGCGTCCCATGAGCGTAAGTACACCTTTATTTTAATCCAGCCACTAAAGAATTGCACGGACGATTTCGTTCCCATCGGATCTCACTCGATGATAATATGCGATATGGATTTCTTGAAGCAGAACTACAGTTTACTGCTGACGATTTCCGGTGATGCCTGCAAACTATGGAATCTCGACTTGCAGGAGCTACTTCACACATTCACCTGCCCGCATTCATGTCTTTCAGCTTTTTCGGTCGGTCCACATGGGGACACTTTCTTGTATGCGACCAAGAGCGGCAAGGTTTGTCAATGTTTCATCCCAATGGTGTACCTTAGATCGTAATGGCCAAACTTTCTACTACGGGTTCTAACTCTTCTGAGTTGTGTTCACTATCGAAATACTTAGTTGAATTCACTGAGCGGTCTCGTGTGCCTATGTTGGCGAATAATACTTATAGTGCAAGTACGTTCCCTGTTTTTGTTTGACGCTACGAAGATTCACCAGTTCGTGCACATTGGTCGAATGACAGGAAGCTGGAACCGAGGGTATCAAATGACGTGGTATGCCAGATACTTGCGATGCGGTAGGTCTATCCCTTGAACCGTCTCAAAAATCAGTCCTTGTAAGCTCCCATCTGATTCGATTGTCCTGCCTATGAAATGGGTTTATCTCTTTCATTCCATCTTTGAATACTCCTTGCTCCGTCTCCGAACCATCCACCAGTTTCGTGTTCAACAGATATACTTGTTAACAAAAAGAAGAGTCAACCTCAATAATGTTTGCGTCGTCAGTTTCATTGTCCCTATACATCCCACTTAGCCCCCACTCCAACCCAGAGCTCTGCCGATACATAACAATAAAAGCGCACTAAAACCTATGAAGCAGATGGATATTTGGTGTTATCCGCCGGAAAACACTACACTTTACGACCGGTTCCGAACTTATCTGATATCTTCTGGTAGGGATGACAGTCAACAAATGGGCGTTTCCGCTAGAGAGTAGTAGGGGGATTTATTGTTTTTCTGAAGGGTCCTCGCAGCTGGACAGCCACTACACATCCAGGGAAGCGATAGGCGTCCGTTCTGTCCTGTTTGGATTCGTCAGTACCGCGCATCCGCTGAGTCTTCTGGGTTTCATACCCACGACTTTGTTCTTACGAGTCAGCGACTAATACCACTAAACCATGGGTGACGATAGCAAGCTGCTATGACGGATATCTAACTGCCGTATAGCGCGGATCATCATCCATTGTTTCCACCTGCACGACTCATCAGTCAGTCATTTACCGTTGCTCCAACTGTTGCCCGTCGCGGCCCGGTGGCTAAAGAGGTAGTGGTCAAAACCGACATCCCACTGGTCTTGGTTTCCGGGCCTGCTGCCTCTACCCGATGAAATCAAACAAGGCCGAAACGCGCAGCATAGCGCAATGTTTTCGGGAAGGCAACATCCAATGTTCAGCTGCTTCATCAGCCAAGATTCCAATGACTGGACTGACCAGGGTTCAGTATAGCAAACAAGCTCGTCTTCGGTGATTCATCAGACTAAACACATCGCATGAGTATATTTAAATAGCCAACATAAAACAACACGTATTGAAAATGTATTTGAAAGTTGAAGTGATAATCGTGTTTCGATTTGTTCACACAATTATAGTCATCCTGTCAAACGTCCAGTGCGCGACGGAAGACCCGGTGAGGACCGGAGTGCTCACTTCTTTATGTACAAATAGAGGAGGTGGTTAAGATGGGTAGGGATCGCCTCTGTCATTGTAAGTATGCGGCATTTTATCAATCTGAAGCGGACTCCCCTCACACGATAGATCAGGCGGAAGCCCTTTGAGATGTCACCCGATTGATCTGTACCGGCCATATTTTCGACAGTCGCAGTGCTGCAGGTTTTGTCTACTCCACGACTCAAACACGCTGGGTGATGCACTCGTACACGTTCTGTCAAACGTCTTATGGTGCGGCCTATGTGGCTTGTTACATTGGAACGAGTAACTGGTACACATAAAAGTTGGTGACATCCACAGGTAAGCCGCTAGTGGTCATAGGTTCGAGTCCTGACGGATCCGATACATGCGCACTGTTGATTATACCCAACAGGTTGAAACTGCAGTCGAGTACTTTTCCGGGCGTGTGAAGGACCATCTGCTTTAGAAGCTAATGCAAAAGCTCAATAAATTATATCAAACGCCTCCTACTCATGAATACAATTCATCCTTCAGTTGCAGAGGTAGCACGGGTGTGGACACGAAAAACTTCGTAGCTGTGCTGCGCAATGTATGTACCTGATTACACTTTCGACTCTTCTGCTAATATGTGTGACTGCGTCATCACCTGTGAAAGGTATGTTTCTTTTCTACTGTTGTCACTGCTGTTGTCACACCTCGCTGGTCAGTCAGCATTTTTCTATCGACGGATGGCTCGGGTTCGCAATTGTTAAGAAGTAATCCTCTTTATTTTTACACGTTCCTGTATACTCGTGTCTTCCAAGCATATTTTCACCGCTCTTTGAGTAAAGTAACGGATTAGGTTTTAATTCTGTTGTAGTGATACAAAACCTTCGAAATGGGTATACTAACCAGTCCATTTTGACTTACCGTAAATTTTACGTTGTGATGTGCCGTCTGGTCAACGCGACATTTGTACATCTCAAGAGGCTATACTTTCATCCGACTCCGGTGGTATGGTGAAGTTAACGTTTCTATGTGACTGATTGAATTTTCGAGGCAATTCAATTCAGTCCCGAAGTAGAACTCCATCTCTGTTAGGCAAAGGTCGTACTGTAATATTTAGTGGGGAGAGAACTCCAAAGATCAGGTGGGAACTTGTATTAAACGTTACATAGCCACTGTAGGGCATAAAGCCAGTTATAACGAAAATGGAAAGCAAGTTACGGTTAACAACCTTTTCCATCCTCCTGTTCTTCTTCCACAGCAGCGCAGCTCTGAAACGGAAGCGGGGACTTCGGTTATGACAATTCAACTAATAAATCGATTGTCTATTACACCACATCCCCTCTAATCTGGCAACGTCCCGGTGCCTGGCCATAACCCCCTTGTGCAGGCACTTCTAGTTCAGCGGCTACGTCGGGTGGGTCGGTCGTTTCGCCCTCGACTTGGCTGGTCTTCATTCGAACTAGTTTGAGACGGTTAAAGTACACCACTATGGACTGTCTGGTTGGATTATCGACGCGCTTTACGAAACACGTAATATCGAACAGTACTCGCTGCTCTATGTAGGGACCCACTCACTCGCGTTGGAACTTTGTAGGTACCCCTTGAGTCTGGATCTGATGTAGCCAACTAAGGTCACCACACACACACTATTCACGTTAGCTAGAGGTGGGAAACACCTCAGCTACTGTGCCGCAATACCCAAAATAAAAAGGGAATAAAATGCAACAGGTGCAAGCCAGCTGAGCTACCGGTAACGGATGGGCATCGTTGCGGTAAGCTACCAGCCGGCTACTATGCAGCAGAAAAGAAATAATTTACTATGCGAAATTATAAAATGATAAATAGTGAGATTGTGGTTGGATGGAGAGGCTAAGGGGGATGGGGTGAGAAAAAGAAACTCACAGCACGAACGCCACTGAGGTCGGCTCCTAGCCATATCAACAAGTGTATCCGGCCAAACGTGTTCATCGTTTTTCGGACCCCAACCAAGGAGCCGAGACACCCCAACTGAGGTCATCGATGAAGTGAGGGCCTTCATTCCTCTTGACCAAGTCATCGCTTGACCACCTATCCTCTTCTTCCATTCACACCTCCGGCGTGCGAACAACGCATGTCGCGGGAGTCGGTGGGCTGGCATGCGTAACACGTGACCGAGCCATTGGAGCCTGATGCACCAAACAACGGTGCTGAGCGGTTCATTTCCATTTCTTGTACCGTTGATAAGGCGTCGAACACGCTCGTTGCTCACGCGGTGTTCCCACCAGATGTGAGCTAACTTGCGAAGGCACCGGTGGTCGAAGGTAACTAGCCACTTTATGTCCGTTGATCTAAGGGGCCACGTTTCAAAACCGTACAGTAGAGTCGAACGTACTGCTGCATTGTACACTCTACTCTTCAGGGCGAGAGTGATGTCGCACCGGCGCCATAATTGGCGAAGGTTAGCAAAAGCACCTCGAGGTTTTGCTATACGTTTTGTGATCTCATCTTCAATCCCACGGGCGCTGATACAACTTCATAGGTAGTTGAATTTTTGAACGACTTCTAGCTGATCCCCAAAAAGGGTCAACGAAAGAGGCGGTCCAGGCCAATCATGGAGGAACGCTTTGCACTTCGATGGTGCAAAGCAAAGCCCGAAGCGACTGAGAGCCAGTGCTAATCTGTCCAGTGCCGCTTAGCACGTCTGGGAGCTGTCACAGATTAGGGCAATATCGTCAGCATACTCCAAGTCAAGAAGTCGTTCTACTCGGAGTAGATCCACACCTTCTAAGTCGTGTCTTGTGAACGCGATTTCCATGACTTTGTCAATAGCGAGGCAGAAACTAGTCTGTTCCTTACGGAAGTATAGTTCTTGAATCCGTGTTAGCCTGCAGAGTGAAGTGGATGTTAGCAATTTAGAAGTGACGGTTATTGCACTGATTACTCTGTGGTTGGCGCATAAGCTACGCGCACTTTTTTGAAGATTGGTACTATAATCGACCCCCCTTAGAAATGAAACCTTGTCTTCACCCCAAATCTTGAAAAACAGAACTGTTACCCGGTTGTCATTCGTCTCGCCATCGTACTTGAACAGCTCCGGAGGAGGTCCGTCTGAGCCAGCAGCTTTGCGCTGCTTCAAGTGAGGAAGCTCAAGGAAGTCTTCCGCTTCAATGGGCGGTTTTAGTGACATGTTCCAAGGTGCACAAGTATGTCTACCTGTTATACAGCTGGAAGGAGGAGGTCAACTGAATTGAGTTTGGAAGTACGCATTCAAGCGGTCCATTCGCCTAAGCAAATTTATGATTGGCGATCCATCAGCCTTGCATACAGCTTCATTGATGCCAGATCTTCTGTGGCCAGTGGTCCGAATGATCTGTAAAAGCTTGCGAAAATTTCCAGAGTGGGTTGCTATCTCCATCTCTGAAGCGCACCGAAAACACCAAGTTTCGCGATTGTTACGCAAGCTCTGCTTGAGTTTTTGTTTTAGCGAACAAAATGCATTGTCGCTTCGCTTGACACAGAATTCCCGAAGGAACAGTTTCAAACATGGACCGCACTTCGCCGCTAAGGATTTCTACACTTCCAGTAGTAAGTGGGATTTTGCTCATTGTCTTATACTTAGGACATTGTGAAAACCGTGCGGGTGGGTGGTGGTGGTGATCTCAGCAGTCTATCAACTAGACAAAGAGCCAACCGAAAACCATGGAGATCAGCGGATAAGGTAGAGTCATTGCATCATAATCATCGTGGCATGCTAGTTGAAGGTGAGCAACACACTTCAGCTAACATGCCACTGAGAGAATGGAACATTTTGACAAAAAGTAGAACAAAACATTTTTAGTTCGTTTTTCACACGCCGATTTTGCTCTCTTTTTGTCATTTTCAATGTTTGGAGTATTAAATATGTGAATCAATACAATTCTGTA